TCTGAAGCTCCATCTGGATTTGGCGGAGCCGTTGCTGTAGTAACGAAATTATTCCCACACAGCCATACACGGGGTCACGCAATCGCGCCTCCGCCTCATACGCCAGCGACTTAACGGCGTCGTCGCGCTGCGCCACGCTGAGCTCGTTCAGCAGCTTCGACACGTTGCTGGCGCCGAACACGCGGTGCACGCACTCGAACCGTTGCGGGTTGTCCGGCGGAAAGTACGGCGCGAACACGCACTCCTGCGTGCACTTCCGGCGCAGAAGCTTGCACGCAGCGCACGGCGAATTCAGCGACGACATCTTCCCTAACCTCCCTTCCTAAATTCACCGTCTATTAGTGTTTCTGAGTCCTAATAAAAGAACCCATGGAAGAAAACACTGAAAAACTTTATTGATCAACTCAACTCGAAAGATCAAGATACAAATGTATATAAACAACAGAAATAGAGAAACCGAAAAGAAACTGCTTTAACAGAAACAGTTTTACACATAAACAAATATCTCCTAATACCGTCACCTGAATAAACCACGTCAATTCATGATTATGGTCATTGGTTTCATAATGGTAATAAGGACAATAGTTTCTGAGATTGTTCTTAATTATCACTCAAAATAGGAATCATTAACGATTATTCATTTCTTCATAATAGATTTCTCAAAGGAAAAGAGAAGATCAAAAAGCAAACGGTTATATAAATAGTTACCCTATAACAAGATTAGGTTATTAAAAAGATAGCGTGCAGGCAGTTAAATTGATGAACAGCACAATAAACGACGATGAATTGAGATTGATAGGTTTTTCATTTCAGATTCAAGAAATTATTAAAATAATCAGGTGATGAAAATAAAATATGATGACATTTGGGATTTAAAAATTTTCTTGATGAACGATAAAGGCGATGGAGAAAGCAGAATAGAACTTACGGAGCGTGGAAAGAGGATGAAAAGGAGGAATGTGAAGAAGATGAAAGAGGAAGAGATGATTGTAGTTTCTTTAATTTTCAGCGCTACTGCCACAAGCAATCCTTCTTCGACGATGCTATATCATTCCTCATCTCGTCGTTTTGTTGTTTATATATACAACATATACTTTCTTCACAAGATTTCCCTCTCTCTTTAGGGTACGTAACTATTTTCACAACTTTTCACTATTAATTATAAATTAATTTGTTGTAGATTAGAACGGAAAAGATTAATTTTCAGGTCCTTAAATAATATCTATAAAAATTTTCTATCGATTTCTCCCTATCACCTTAAACTCTCTCTCGCATTGTGAGTGAAATCGTTCAACAATATGCTATTTAATCGACTAAATTCATTATATAATCGACTAAGTCATCAACTATTGATTATATAATGTAAATAATCTATTAAGGAAATGTTTTAGGCGTTGAAGTTATTATCTAATCATTCAAATTTTGGTAATTTATTGAATTTCTTTTTTTAACAATTGGTCACTCTATAAATCTCTTAACCAATTTTTCAAATAATCAATTACTCATTTTTCTTTGGATCCTATATATACCTGTATAAAAACCCGAATGGTCCAAGAGACTCAACCAAAACTAAATTATCAAACTTTTTTGCAAGTCATGAAAACATTTTACAAACCCTCGTACGAATACTTTTCCGATACTTGGGCTCAAGGGTCAGTGTACATTCTACCCCTCGATTTGAGGATACAATCCAGAATTCCTAGACCTTAACACCACAAAAAAAAATATATATATTATAAATAGTCAAAATTTATTAATTAAAAACGTAAACTAAATTGTCAAAAACGACATTTTTTACACAAAATTTTGATAGATCAAAATTTGTCAATAATACTGCACTAAGTAACATTTATCGACAAAATTTCATATTTTTCAATAAAAACTGAGAAAAAATTATGCCGATAAATTTGTCAGTAATTATCGAAGAAAAAATTCGACAATATATTTTTTGAAAAATGCTATTTGATTTGGTTCATCTTATTTCTCCTCTCTCCTTTTCCTGTCTTTTAGGGTTTCATTTTTTTTATAATGAAAAACTCTATTTGACAGTGAACCATTCGGGTACTTTCTATCCATTCTTCTCCAAACACAACCTTACCTTACGGAAAAGGTATTCAACCAAAAGTTCTTCATTAGTGGGGAACCCAAGGGGAGAACTCAATTGTTCGAGAGGGTATTCTTCCCTCTTCTCACCTCTCGACAATGACAAACTAATACCACGAGTGCATCCTCCACCATCGCAGCAACAGTCGCATCATTGTAAACCAGATCACCTTTATAACACGCGAAAATGTGAGTTCCTCGTGATCCATAAGAACAACGTCAAAAAACCAGTTAGAGTAGCACCTAAATGTCGTCATCACTAAAGGAAAAGAGAGAGATAGTTGTACAACACTGTCCCAAACCACCATTGGCATTGTCGAGAACCTCTACGACTCCTTTAGCAATGCACCATCACCACATGTTCCGCCTGAGCCACTATCGCAAATCCAACACTTGAGCCATCGTCACGGATCCAACATCATGAGTTGTGACACCTCACCATGGAAGAAATAGAAGTTGCGCACCTCCAACACAAACCACCATGAGCGGGGGAAAATTATTTGAGCAGGAAAATTATTGCTCCTTTTATCGACAAATGTATCCATCAGTAATAAACATTTTAAATTATCGATGAATTATAATATTTATAATTACTTACATATTTTGTCGACGAAAAATTCATCAATAAATGAAATATGCATTACTAGCGGATTTATCAATGAAAAAGTTCATTGGTAAATAAAATATGTATTATCGACGGAAAGGTTCGTTAATAGTCAATCTGTCGATGAAATCCATTGATCATTAAAAATTCAAAAAATGCCAAAATTAAAATTTATCAACAAATTTAATTTCGTTGATAAAATTTCATTGATAATTTCAAAAATTTTTGTAGTGCAAAAAGACAAAACATATTCTCACCAAATTAAAGATGTTATTGGTCTTAAACACAGTGTTCAAAAGTCAAAGAGAAAACAAGGTCAAAAATGTAACCCTTGAGTTATACTCGTAAACAAGATTACAATATCATTGAATTATGATTAGGCCTTCCAAAAAGTAAGAACTCATATAAATAGAAAAATGTAGGTAAAGTTTTTGCCCTTCCATTTATTAGATTAATTGAAACTAAACACTTACTTGAGTGAGAGAATATCTTTTGCAAGTAATCTAGAGGCCTGATCATCGTAAAGAAATCGAACGATCGGATAACAAAAGACAAAGACAGAGAAGAACTTCGAGAATCAAAGGATTAAGGTAGCTCTTAGTTTAACAATAACAACTGCACGAATTAGAGGACAAAATAGTATAATTAAATAGTATCCTAAAATTTGCCATATGAAAAAGTTGTTGCATTGATATGAGTGAAATATAAATGGACATTAAGTAATCTATATAATTTGTACGTTATTATGAAATAACCAACATAGAAAGTGTTTCTTTTTTCATGAATTAATATATCAAAGTTTAAAAGACTTTTTTTTATCTTGGTAAAAATAGTGAAAATTTACAAATTTTTCATTATGATTAAATATGTTTTTAGTCTAAACTTGTACATGAAATTGAAATTTATCTATGTTTTCAATTTTGACACATTTTTTCTTTAAACTTTAAAAGTGAATGGATATAGTCCTCCTAATCCAACTGCATTAAATTTTTTTGACGTGTCAAATGCATTTTAGGATGATATTTGAATTGTTTGTACCATTTTGACACTTTTCCTGCTCAAATGTCAACTTGAAACACAATTTAATAAATAAAAAAGTTTAACACTATTAGGTTAAAATGACTATATCCACTCATTTTTACTCTTTGAGGACCAAAACATATTAAAGTTTGAGAGAGAAATGAATTCCAATTTTTCATGTAAGTTCATGGACTAAAAACATACTTAACCATTTTCATCATATATTTGTTTCATCAATTTTTTACTAATCGACTTGAAAAGTATGATATAGTTATGTAACTTTTTAGGAGTGAAAGTTACCTAAACCATTTTTTATTTTTACAAGTAAATTTTGTTTATGCTAATAAAAATAAACAAAATTATCAACATTTGAAATGCTTCCACTTGTTTTATGATAGTGTTTTTCAAGGACTTAGTTTAAATCAATAGATTATTAGTATTACTTAAATTAAATCAACTCGATGTGAGTTTTTTTTTCATAGGATTAGCAAACACTTATTTTCAATCTAATTATGGTGTTTTTGTTTAAGCTTCTACAAGTAAGATTAATTTGATGTAAAAGTTATTTATGTTGTAAATTAGAGGAGGTCATGGTTGCGGTGGCTCGCGGTTTTGCGGTGGTTCTTGGAATTGCTAGAACAAACAGTCACTAGTGAAAAATATGTTTTTTATACCCATTTTTTAAACCTGTTAGAAATTTACTAGGTATAAAAATTAATACAGTGACAGTATCGTAAATAAAATAAATTTTTTTATACTTATTTTATTAAGAACAGGAATAAAAAATAATAAATAAGTATTTTGTACCGGTTATCCTCGAGATAGGTGTAAAAAATTACTTTTTCCATACCTATTAAACTTATATTAGGTATAAACGTTGTTAATTTCTACACCGGTCATATAATATAATCGGTGTAAAAATTTTGACATTCTATCCTAAATCCCTTTTCTCGATTCACTTTTCTCTTCTCCATCTTTTTCTCTACGATTCCTTTCTCTCTCTTCTATAGCAATTGTGGCTATGCTCATGGATGCATCAGGTTATGTTGGCGTTTGTTGCTTCGGTGGGTTGTGGTAGTGGTGGTGTAACATCCCGATTACGAGTTAAATTTAAAATTTTTAAAATTATAATACCATCTCGGAAATCCACTTATATAATACTGAAATTTGTAAAATAAAAACGAAATAAAATAAACCCGATTATATTATCTCTAACATTTATAGTACAAAAGCTTTAAATAACACATGTCTTTTTCCCACTCTCGCGTCTCAATCATGCATCTGGAGCATCTGCAACATCTACTCCCGTATAACCAAAAGTTATACGATCATCGCAAGACATATACAACTATAAACACAAACAAATATAGGTAAGCTACCATAGCAAAATCAATAATAATAAAATTTGTACATAGAAAACAAACACAACTTAATAACAAATCAATCATCTACAATGTTGTCCTACTAACATAATCATTTATACACCATGATCATCATCAACATCATCATTAACTATATCATGACTATGCCATCAACATCGTCCTTATCAACATCATTTCTAAACACAAAGTCTCCCAACATCATCATGAAAGACCTTGGTCTGTCTTCTTTACCTAACCATACCACCTGTAGCTTCCCCATACAGGCTCATAACCATACCACCTGTAGCTTCCCCATACAGGTTCATAATCATACCACCTGTAGCTTCCCATACATGTTCATAATCATACCACTTGTACCTTCTCCATACAGCCTCATAAACATACCACCTGTAGCTTCCCCATACAGGTTCATAATCATCCCACCTATAGCTTCCCCATATAGGCTCATAAACATACCACTTGTAACTTCTCCATACAGGTTCATAATCATATCACCTATAGCTTCCCCATACAGGCTCATAAGCATACCGATGATTTTTTACGGTAATTACTAACGAATAGTTTTGTACTTATCGACGATTTTTTTTGTTTTATCGATGAATTTTCCTGTCAGTAATTATTGACAAATTTAAGATTTTGTCGATAAATATTACTTACTGCATTATTACTGACAAATTTAGATTTATCGGTAATCTCTCAAAAAATCATTAGCAACTAATTTTTTAAATTTTCAATGAATTTTGACTGTTAGTGATACTTTTTTTTCCCTGTAGTGAAAAAAGAAACAAAGACTCTGTATGAAGTAAGATGATGAATCAATGAATGATGTGTACGAAGGTAACAAATGAGATACACTTATTGTAATGAAATGAAAATAGATCAAAATAAATTGCATAAACTGAATTATTGTGTCTCAATCTCTTTAATCCTTCGTACACATTATATGTGTAAGATTTCACTTTTCCTAGACTTTGATCAATTTTCTGAAATACTTTTCTACTAACTCTTGATTCTACAAGGATATTTGGTGTTTTAAATAATTTCTTACTGTTTCTTGTTGTACTTAGCAAATAGTTATGAATTAAACAATAATAGTTGGAAATGTTTTGCACCATTTTAAAGCTTGATGTTAATCGCATATTATTGTAATAAATTTTCATCCAAATGTTAATGTATTTGTTGTCCTAGGTAGATCTTTTGCTTAGCAATTTTACATTTGCATTTGAGTTTCAAGTATAAGAATACGAGACATTCACACAGTTAATCATACTCTTTCTAATTTTAAAAGAAAAAATGTACTACTCAATAATATATTACAAATAACTTTTATTTAGTGAAGATTTGTGTTCTATTTTGCAAAGATTTTTATCTTCCGTAAATTAATTTTTGAGAGTTTTTCAAACTTTCAGTTTTAGCTATATAAGATATTTTGGACAATTATTTTTTAAGTATTTTTTTATGATAAGCTTCACTTGGAGTTTGATCCAAAAGATTTCAAGCAACTTTATCTCCTGTGAAAATATACGTATGGTTCTTTTTTATTTATTATATTAATGCACATGTTTTCCCAATTAAGAAACTAACATTAGTGTTAACCATAATTATTTTATGTAAATTGAAAAATAAAATATGATTTCAATATACTTCACCACATTTAAAAATGTTTGGTTTTTGAAAAAAAAAATCTTATATCAGTAAAATATACTTCCCGATCTATAATTATTTTCTCAAGATACTTTAAGATATTTTACCTAAATAAACNGGAGACAACAATTCTCCTTGAGTCCCAAATCCACCATTACTAGGTTCAAAACCACCGAACACTTTCTGCTCATAGTTTCTAAACATCTGTTGTTGCTGCTCCCTAGTTGCAAGGGCTATCTGCTGAGCTTCTTGAAAATCCTGCTGCTGAGGGTCGCGAACCATCGTCTGGCCACCGCCATGGCCAACCAAAATCTGCTGCGGCGCCATGTTGTTGCCAACATGATTGAACAGAGGTTGATGCGAGGGAGGCACGACAATATCAGCTGATGGCACCATCCCAGGATTGGCCAAGAGAATCTGCATAGTCTGAGGACTCACATAAGTGGACAATTCCTTCTTCGCGCTCTGAAGCTCCATCTGGATTTGGCGGAGCCGTTGCTGTAGTAACGAAATTATTCCCACACAGCCATACACGGGGTCACGCAATCGCGCCTCCGCCTCATACGCCAGCGACTTAACGGCGTCGTCGCGCTGCGCCACGCTGAGCTCGTTCAGCAGCTTCGACACGTTGCTGGCGCCGAACACGCGGTGCACGCACTCGAACCGTTGCGGGTTGTCCGGCGGAAAGTACGGCGCGAACACGCACTCCTGCGTGCACTTCCGGCGCAGAAGCTTGCACGCAGCGCACGGCGAATTCAGCGACGACATCTTCCCTAACCTCCCTTCCTAAATTCACCGTCTATTAGTGTTTCTGAGTCCTAATAAAAGAACCCATGGAAGAAAACACTGAAAAACTTTATTGATCAACTCAACTCGAAAGATCAAGATACAAATGTATATAAACAACAGAAATAGAGAAACCGAAAAGAAACTGCTTTAACAGAAACAGTTTTACACATAAACAAATATCTCCTAATACCGTCACCTGAATAAACCACGTCAATTCATGATTATGGTCATTGGTTTCATAATGGTAATAAGGACAATAGTTTCTGAGATTGTTCTTAATTATCACTCAAAATAGGAATCATTAACGATTATTCATTTCTTCATAATAGATTTCTCAAAGGAAAAGAGAAGATCAAAAAGCAAACGGTTATATAAATAGTTACCCTATAACAAGATTAGGTTATTAAAAAGATAGCGTGCAGGCAGTTAAATTGATGAACAGCACAATAAACGACGATGAATTGAGATTGATAGGTTTTTCATTTCAGATTCAAGAAATTATTAAAATAATCAGGTGATGAAAATAAAATATGATGACATTTGGGATTTAAAAATTTTCTTGATGAACGATAAAGGCGATGGAGAAAGCAGAATAGAACTTACGGAGCGTGGAAAGAGGATGAAAAGGAGGAATGTGAAGAAGATGAAAGAGGAAGAGATGATTGTAGTTTCTTTAATTTTCAGCGCTACTGCCACAAGCAATCCTTCTTCGACGATGCTATATCATTCCTCATCTCGTCGTTTTGTTGTTTATATATACAACATATACTTTCTTCACAAGATTTCCCTCTCTCTTTAGGGTACGTAACTATTTTCACAACTTTTCACTATTAATTATAAATTAATTTGTTGTAGATTAGAACGGAAAAGATTAATTTTCAGGTCCTTAAATAATATCTATAAAAATTTTCTATCGATTTCTCCCTATCACCTTAAACTCTCTCTCGCATTGTGAGTGAAATCGTTCAACAATATGCTATTTAATCGACTAAATTCATTATATAATCGACTAAGTCATCAACTATTGATTATATAATGTAAATAATCTATTAAGGAAATGTTTTAGGCGTTGAAGTTATTATCTAATCATTCAAATTTTGGTAATTTATTGAATTTCTTTTTTTAACAATTGGTCACTCTATAAATCTCTTAACCAATTTTTCAAATAATCAATTACTCATTTTTCTTTGGATCCTATATATACCTGTATAAAAACCCGAATGGTCCAAGAGACTCAACCAAAACTAAATTATCAAACTTTTTTGCAAGTCATGAAAACATTTTACAAACCCTCGTACGAATACTTTTCCGATACTTGGGCTCAAGGGTCAGTGTACATTCTACCCCTCGATTTGAGGATACAATCCAGAATTCCTAGACCTTAACACCACAAAAAAAAATATATATATTATAAATAGTCAAAATTTATTAATTAAAAACGTAAACTAAATTGTCAAAAACGACATTTTTTACACAAAATTTTGATAGATCAAAATTTGTCAATAATACTGCACTAAGTAACATTTATCGACAAAATTTCATATTTTTCAATAAAAACTGAGAAAAAATTATGCCGATAAATTTGTCAGTAATTATCGAAGAAAAAATTCGACAATATATTTTTTGAAAAATGCTATTTGATTTGGTTCATCTTATTTCTCCTCTCTCCTTTTCCTGTCTTTTAGGGTTTCATTTTTTTTATAATGAAAAACTCTATTTGACAGTGAACCATTCGGGTACTTTCTATCCATTCTTCTCCAAACACAACCTTACCTTACGGAAAAGGTATTCAACCAAAAGTTCTTCATTAGTGGGGAACCCAAGGGGAGAACTCAATTGTTCGAGAGGGTATTCTTCCCTCTTCTCACCTCTCGACAATGACAAACTAATACCACGAGTGCATCCTCCACCATCGCAGCAACAGTCGCATCATTGTAAACCAGATCACCTTTATAACACGCGAAAATGTGAGTTCCTCGTGATCCATAAGAACAACGTCAAAAAACCAGTTAGAGTAGCACCTAAATGTCGTCATCACTAAAGGAAAAGAGAGAGATAGTTGTACAACACTGTCCCAAACCACCATTGGCATTGTCGAGAACCTCTACGACTCCTTTAGCAATGCACCATCACCACATGTTCCGCCTGAGCCACTATCGCAAATCCAACACTTGAGCCATCGTCAAGGATCCAACATCATGAGTTGTGACACCTCACCATGGAAGAAATAGAAGTTGCGCACCTCCAACGCAAACCACCATGAGCGGGGGAAAATTATTTGAGCAGGAAAATTATTGCTCTTTTTATCGACAAATGTATCCATCGGTAATAAACATTTTAAATTATCGATGAATTATAATATTTATAATTACTTACATATTTTGTCGACGAAAAATTCATCAATAAATGAAATATGCATTACTAGCGGATTTATCGATGAAAAAGTTCATTTGTAAATAAAATATGTATTATCAACGGAAAGGCTGTCGGTGAAATCCATTGATAATTAAAAATTCAAAAAATGCCAAAATTAAAATTTATCAACAAATTTAATTTCGTTGATAAAATTTCATCGACGTAATTTCAAGAATTTTTGTAGTGCAAAAAGACAAAACATATTCTCACCAAATTAAAGATGTTATTGGTCTTAAACACAATGTTCAGAAGTCAAAGAGAAAACAAGGTCAAGAATGTAACCCTTGAGTTATACTCGTAAACAAGATTACAATATCATTGAATTATGATTAGGCCTTCCAAAAAGTAAAAACTCATATAAATAGAAAATGTAGGTAAAGTTTTTGCCCTCTCCATTTATTAGATTAATTGAAACTAAACACTTGAGTGAGAGAATATCTTTTGCAAGTAATCTAGAGGCCTGATCATCGTAAAGAAATCGAACGATCGGATAACAAAAGACAAAGACAAAGAAGAACTTCGAGAATCAAAGGATTAAGGTAGCTCTTAGTTTAACAATAACAACTGCACGAATTAGAGGACAAAATAGTATAATTAAATAGTATTCTAAAATTTGCCATATGAAAAAGTTGTTGCATTGATATGAGTGAAATATAGATGGACATTAAGTAATCTATATAATTTGTACGTTATTCCGAAATAACCAACATAGAAAGTGTTTTTTTTTCATGAATTAATATATCAAAGTTTAAAAGACTTTTTTTATCTTGGTAAAAATAGTGAAAATTTACAAATTTTTCATTATGGTTAAATATCTTTTTAGTCTAAACTTGTACATGAAATTGAAATTTATCTATGTTTTCAATTTTGACACATTTTTTCTTTAAACTTTAAAAATGAATGGATATAGTCCTCTTATTCCAACTGCATTAAATTTTTTTGACGTGTCAAATGCATTTTAGGATGATATTTGAATTGTTTGTACCATTTTGACACTTTTCCTGCTCAAATGTCAACTTGAAACACAATTTAATAAATAAAAAAGTTTAACACTATTAGGTTAAAATGACTATATCCACTCATTTTTAATGTTTGAGGACCAAAACGTATTAAAGTTTGAGAGAGAAATGAATTCCAATTTTTCATGTAAGTTCATGGACTAAAAACATACTTAACCATTTTTCATCATATATTTGTTTCATCAATTTTTTACGACTTGAAAAGTATGATATAGTTATGTAACTTTTTAGGAGTGAAAATTACCAAAACCATTTTTTATTTTTACAAGTAAATTTTGTTTATGCTAATAAAAATAAACAAAATTATCAACATTTGAAATGCTTCCACTTGTTTTATGATAGTGTTTTTCAAGGACTTAGTTTCAATCAATAGATTATTAGTATTACTTAAATTAAATTAACTCGATGTGAGTTTTTTTTCATAGGATTAGCAAACACTTATTTTCAATCTAATTATGGTGTTTTTGTTTAAGCTTCTACAAGTAAGATTAATTTGATGTAAAAGTTATTTATGTTGTAAATTAGAGGAGGTCATGGTTGCAGTGACTCGCGATTTTGCGGTGGTTCTTGGAATTGCTAGAACAAATAGTGGTGGTGTAACATCCCGATTTTTGGGATGTTCCAATTACGAGTAAAATTTAAAATTTTTAAAATTATAATACTATCTCGGAAATCCACTTATATAATACTGAAATTTGTAAAATAAAAACGAAATAAAATAAACCCGATTATATTGTCTCTAACATTTACAATACAAAAGCTTTAAATAACACGTCTTTTTCCCACTTTCGCGTCTCAATCATGCATCTAGAGCATCTGCAACATCTACTCCCGTATAACCAAAAGTTATACGGTCATCGCAAGACATATACAACCATAAACACAAACAAATATTGGTAAGCTACCATAGCAAAACCAATAATAATAAAATTTGTACATAGAAAACAAATACAACTTAATAACAAATCAATCATCTACAACGCTATTCTACTAACATAATCATATATACATCATGATCATCATCAACATCATCATTAACTATATCATGACTATGCCATCAACGTCATCCTTATCAACATCATCTCTAAACACAAAGTCTCCCAACATCATCATGAAAGACCTTGGTCTGTCTCCTGTACCTAACCATACTACCTGTAGCTTCCCCATACAGGCTCATAACCATACCACCTATAGCTTCCCCATACAGCTTCATAATCATACCACCTGTAGCTTCCCATACATGTTCATAATCATATCACCTGTAACTTCTCCATACAGGCTCATAAACATACCACCTGTAGCTTCCCCATACAGGTTCATAATCATACCACCTGTAGCTTCCCCATACAGGCTCATAAACACACCACTTGTAACTTCTCCGTACACGTTCATAATCATATCACCTGTAGCTTCCCCATACAGGCTCATAAACATACCACTTGTAGTTTCTCCATACAGGTTCATAATCATACCACCTGTAGCTTCCCCATACAGGCTCATAAACATACCGACGATTTTTTTACAGTAATTACTAACGAATTCTTTTGTACTTATCGACGACTTTTTTCTTGTATTTACCGATGAATTTTCCTATCAGTAATTATTGACAAATTTAAGATTTTGTCGATAAATATTACTTACTGCATTATTACTGACAAATTTATGTTTGTCGGTAATTTGTCAAAAAATCATTAGCAACTAATTTTTTAAATTTTCAATGAATTTTGAATGTTAGTGATACTTTTTTTTCCTGTAGTGGAAAAAGAAAGAAAGACTGTGTATGAAGTAAGATGATGAATCAATGAATGATGTGTACGAAGGTAACAACAAATGAGATACACTTATTGTAATGAAATGAAAATAGATCAAAATANTATGGTAAAACTTACCTTTGAGTCGATAAGTACTTTATGATCATAAATAACCCTTGATGTCTTTCTTTGTTTGTCATTCCACCTGTTTCCTATGTGTATCGTCCTCATTAATTTTTTTCATCATTTTTTCATATGTCTAGTCATATTCCTCATCTCTTACAAGAAATTGCAAAGTATATATTTTGTTAAATTCCTACTTGATCGAAGACCTTATATTTCAAAGTTTGACTCCAAAATTCAAGCTTAATGTTAATTTTTACCTTTGATTCCTTGATGATTATATCATTTGGAAAATACACGGGGATGATCTTTTGTATGTCCATGATAAACATACTCTACACCAGATTAAACAAAGAGAACACTCGGAAATCTTTTGGATTATCCTCACAAGCATTTCAAATGCTTGCCTCTAGGAATTAACCTCCCATGCTGTGAAAACTCGAGAGAGTTGAATACTTTTCTGTCAACGATCAATTACAAGTATCATTGTATAGATGACAAAGCATAGCTCACACCATCTGATACAGAGAGCTAATAACTACTAACTAACTGTTAAACTAACAGAGGAAAATAAAGCTAAGCAATATGTCTGTTAACACAAGCATTTCAAAGGACTTTGTGGCTTGCTTGCTTCCAAGTGTTAGATTATTTTAATGTAATATTGGCTCATGTAATTTATAGAATAAATTTAATGTAAAGTTTTCTAATGTGATGATTATTATATTATAAATGTATTAAAGTTATGGGAATTATGGTAATTTAATAAATATTTCAAAAGAACACGTAAAAGTTACATTACAGTTCTTCCATAAATAAGAGAAAAGTTTACGTTCTTGAACAATGAAAGGCAAGTAACTTGACAGAAGAAAACATCCTACGGGACACATTCTATGTCAAAGTTAGTAAGAGAAGTGAAAATATCCATCACCTTCAAAGAGACCATTTACAATGGATCCATGAAATTACTCTACTTCATAGGAATCTTAGAATCTATGATTCTCACAAAATTATATTGATAGAAGGGTTTTAAAAAATCTCTTAGACGGTGATGGATTTTAGCTTTTCTTATTTCCTTTAACGACTTTCTTGATGATATAGAATGTGTCTCATAGGATGTTTTTTCAAGTTACTTGCCTTTTATTGTTCAATAACCTTTTCTTTCATTCACAGAAGAACTGTAATGTAACTCCTAGGTGTCCTCTTGAAATATTTATTAAAATACCATAATATCCTTAATGAAGAGAGAGAATTGATTTTAATGACTCTAAAATAATTCCCATAACTTTAATACATTTATAATCATCACATTAGAAACCTTTGCATTAAAGTTATTCTATAAATTACATGAGCCAATATTAGATTAAAATAATTTAACACCAAGTAAAAAATGGGGGCGAAATAGACATAACTGGTTTGACATTGCTTAATTATTCTAACATCTATAACCAATGGTGATGATTTGTTATAACTTTTTATAATATATGGAATGTTTCTTGTCTGGGGGACTATCCTGTTGATAGATTCATTGCTTCTAGTCTCTTGCAGTTACAGGGAATATATATATATATATATATATATATATATATATATATANCTTTCCGCTCCAGATCCGTGCGGGATCCGGGTCTTCTCATTTGGTCGAATCGGGAACCGTTTTACCTCTCAAGGTTTTCTTCTTTCTTATTTTCTCTTATGATATTTATATTTGGTTTGAGTTTTGAGTTGCAGTTTTTGGTTATGTAGATTCATAGGGACGAAGAGAGTGGGAAGATTCTGAATTTGGTGTTTGTTTGGGCTGAGGACGGAATGAAATTGAAAGTGGATGTGCCTGTTATTTTCAAAGGGGAAGATGTTTGTCCTGGTATTCAGAAAGGTAACTCTTTTTATTTTATTGCTGAAGAACTTGTAGTTTAGTAGTTTATTAGATGATCTTTTGGTTCATGAGTGATGAAATGTGCAATACATGACGAAATGGCCCTCGTGTGGAGCTCTCTAAGCTGAAGTAATCAATAATCCATACTAATAATCTTTTGTATGCATAATTTGGAGATTGCTTAGCAGAGAGACTACGGCTTAACCGAACTGTTTAGTTTTTTAGTTTAATTTTCATCTGAGTACAATTTTTTTTAATAATTTGAACTGATTAGAAGTTATTTTATGTGTGACTTTTGAAGTAGTTATTACAAAAACCATCAATCTTAGTATACATGGTGACGGATGATTGGATGATAGCGCATCCTTTACACTGTCTGTCCCTGTATTTGAATTAAACTATTTTTCCTTTCCTCAATAATTAAGGTAGAAAATATTGCCAAACATTAAACTGGATGTGATTGTGAATTTATATTGATACAACAACAAATTATTATCCAACTAGGTGATGTTGGCTACATGCGTGATGGGTCATTCAGTTTCATTTGTCACGGTTAAAATCCAAACCTTCTGGAATATTATTTAGCTTAAGCCTCCCTTGACAAATTTTTGCAATGTCTGTTTTGTCTCCCTCTCCCTTTTGTCTGCCTAAAATCATGTAATCTACTCTTATGATTGTTGCCTCTTTTTGCCCTTTTTTGTAAATCCCAAACCACATAACTGATTTTTTTGTTATTATTTCCTTACTCGGTGCTTCACCAACTTTTTTTTGTATAAATTATTTTGTATTGTGGTCACAGATCAATCTTAGTGTTCTCAATTTTGTTACTCTCACCTTTCTCTAATGTCGTCCTTTAAAGCCTATCAATTGCTATAGTGTGGCACACTTGAATGCTTAGTCATATGGTAAAACTTACCTTTGAGTCGATAAGTACTTTATGATCAAAAATAACCCTTGATGTCTTTCTTTGTTTGTCATTCCACCTGTTTCCTATGTGTATCGTCCTCATTAATTTTTTTCATCATTTTTTCATATGTCTAGTCATATTCCTCATCTCTTACAAGAAATTGCAAAGTATATATTTTGTTAAATTCCTACTTGATCGAAGACCTTATATTTCAAAGTTTGACTCCAAAATTCAAGCTTAATGTTAATTTTTACCTTTGATTCCTTGATGATTATATCATTTGGAAAATACACGGGGATGATCTTTTGTATGTCCATGATAAACATACTCTACACCAGATTAAACAAAGGGAACACTCGGAAATCTTTTGGATTATCCTCACAAGCATTTCAAATGCTTGCCTCTAGGAATTAACCTCCCATGCTGTGAAAACTCGAGAGAGTTGAATACAAGAATATCAGTAGAAAATGCATTCTTTTACTTTTCTGTCAACGATCAATTACAAGTATCATTGTATAGATGACAAAGCATAGCTCACACCATCTGATACAGAGAGCTAATAACTACTAACTAACTGTTAAACTAACAGAGGAAAATAAAGCTAAGCAATATGTCTGTTAACACAAGCATTTCAAAGGACTTTGTGGCTTGCTTGCTTCCAAGTGTTAGATTATTTTAATGTAATATTGGCTCATGTAATTTATAGAATAAATTTAATGTAAAGTTTTCTAATGTGATGATTATTATATTATAAATGTATTAAAGTTATGGGAATTATGGTAATTTAATAAATATTTCAAAAGAACACGTAAAAGTTACATTACAGTTCTTCCATAAATAAGAGAAAAGTTTACGTTCTTGAACAATGAAAGGCAAGTAACTTGACAGAAGAAAACATCCTACGGGACACATTCTATGTCAAAGTTAGTAAGAGAAGTGAAAATATCCATCACCTTCAAAGAGACCATTTACAATGGATCCATGAAATTACTCTACTTCATAGGAATCTTAGAATCTATGATTCTCACAAAATTATATTGATAGAAGGGTTTTAAAAAATCTCTTAGACGGTGATGGATTTTAGCTTTTCTTATTTCCTTTAACGACTTTCTTGATGATATAGAATGTGTCTCATAGGATGTTTTTTCAAGTTACTTGCCTTTTATTGTTCAATAACCTTTTCTTTCATTCACAGAAGAACTGTAATGTAACTCCTAGGTGTCCTCTTGAAATATTTATTAAAATACCATAATATCCTTAATGAAGAGAGAGAATTGATTTTAATGACTCTAAAATAATTCCCATAACTTTAATACATTTATAATCATCACATTAGAAACCTTTGCATTAAAGTTATTCTATAAATTACATGAGCCAATATTAGATTAAAATAATTTAACACCAAGTAA